GAGGTAGGGGACTTTAATTTTACAAATAAGAAAAATGTGATGGCGCACACCCCTGCAATTTTTGCTGCTTAGGGGGTTGAGGCAGGTGGACTAAGAGAGTTAAAGACCAGCCTGGGCCACATAAAGAGTTCAAAGCAACCAGGGCTGTATTACAAGACCTTATCTGGAAAAAAAAAGAAATTATAAATTAGAACAGGGCTGGCAAGATGATGATGGTTCAGCAGGTAAGAGAGCTTGCTACCAAGCCTGACAATCCAAGTTTGATCCCCGCAACCTACATGACAGAAGGAGAGAACAGATCCCTGAAAAGTTGACTTTTGACCTCTACATTCATGCCAGCCCACATGTACACACAAATAAACAAGCAAGCAAATAAATAACAAAGTAAATAATACCTAAAATAATTAAATGAAAGAAGCCATAAGAAAACTAGGGGACTTTAAGGAGACAACAGGTGGGAGAGGCCAGGCATAATGGCCTTTAATCCCAGCACTTTGGAGGCAGAGGCACATGGATCTTTGTGGGTTCAAGACCAGCCTGGTTCACATAGTAAGTTCCAGGAAGGTCAGGGCTACATAGAAGAAACCATGTGTCAATGAACAACAACAAAAAAATAAAATAAAAATAAAAATAAAAAAAAGTAGGAGAAAAAGATAAGGCTTCTTAAAAGCCATAATACAGGAATCTTTTTTCCGTAAAGCATCATGGTAAAAGATAGAACAATTCAAATGATCTCTCAAACTGTATGCTGAGTAAGCACAAAAGTATATGGTATATGATACCTCTTGAAGAATAGACAAAACTGTGATGTGACAGACAGAGTTAGCATCCTCTGCAGACTGAGCAGGAGGCACAGGGAGCCTGGACACGTGGAACCCTCCAACTAACGATGGGAGTTCTCTGTGATGGCATGTGACAGATATTTATGTATAAAAATTCATCAAGCTTACAGGTTTTGTTTCTTTGCTTTGCTCTTTTGAGACAGGGTTTCTCTGTGTAGACCTGGCTGTCCTGGGACCCACTCTGTTTACCAGCCTAGCCTCAAACATAGAGATTCACCTGCCTCTGCCTCCCAAATGCTGGTATTATAGGTGTGCACCACCACCGCCCAGCTAAATTTTATACTTACTCTGAGTGTGGTGGCTTTTATAAGAATGGCCCCCATAGGCTCATATATTTGAATGCTTAAGTTACCAGGGAATGGAACTGTCTGAAAGGATTAGAAGGATCAGGGGGTGTGATCTTGTTGGAATAGGGATGACCCAGTTTGAGAAAGTGGGTCACCGGGGCTTTGAGGTTTCAAAAGCCCAGTCTCACCCTCTAGGCCTGCAGTTAAGAATACTGTCTGCTCTCCCAGAGGTCCTAAGTTCAATTCCCAGCACCCACATGGTGGCTCACAACCATCTATACTGGCATCTGATGCCTTCTTCTGGCATGCAAGTATACATGCAAATAAAGCCCTCAAATTAATCTTTAAAATAAACAAACACTTGAAAAATGAAAAAACTATAACAGTCAGTCAAAATGACAAGATTTTACATAAAGAATATTATAATACTTTTGATTTAGAAGCAATTAGGAAAAAATGACAAAATAAGTGCATTGAGTAGGTATAAAAAGAGAACTTTCAAATTTCTCTGTCCTTGAATCAGATGATACACCTTCTGATTAGTTCTGGGGACTCAACTCAGGGGCTCAGTGAAGGTATGTCGGGAACAAGAGCTAAAGCTCTGCAGCAGTAGCTAAAGCACATTCACAGGGCTGGAGCTGCAGCTCAGCACAAAGAGCCTTCCCAGCATGCACAAAGACCATGCTCCATCCCTACAATCACCGGAAACAAAACAAAAACAACAAACCCTTTTGAAGGTGAGAGAACACCACTGGGTACCCACTTAATGGCCATAAAGGACACAGTGTGCAAATGTAGGCTCACTTTACAAAGAACAACATAGCCAGGAAAGACAGCCCGCCCCCAAGAAACCCCTCCCCCAAAGGGCAAAGAAACAACACCCAGGAGACGCAGGATTGGGAACTTAGAAAGCTGCAAATGTTCTCACAGATGGGCAGAGGGTCTCGGGAGTGCAAAGTGACCCTAAATAAAAGAGGTGGGGAGATTTAGAATGGCTGTAATTTTTAGACTATCCCAACTCGTAGGGCATACTGAGAAACACGGGGCACTTTACTCCACCAGTGCCCGAGAAGTCTTAGGCCCCCTTTTCCCCCAGTACCGGAGATTTAACTCAAGTTCTCGGGCACAAACTGAGAATTCTAATCAATCCATCAGCATCACTAGATAGTTCTAGACCGTTTTGTTAAGACAGAAAAGGATGAATTCTCACTGCTGCACTTCTCCAGGGCAGCAGCCTGCGGGCAGGGTGAAAGCTGCTTGAGGAGAAAGGCACAGAAGAGAATTAGGAGCAGAATGCTGCATCCAGGGTTGGACTGAAATGTGGGACTGGGTTCAGTGGGATGAGCTTGGGTAGGCAAAGGAAGAACAGAAGGAAAAAACAAACAAATTGTTTGAGGCTATAAATACCTAAGTCATTTATTATGAGGTACTACATATGAAAATAATAATTTTGTGGGTATACACTGGGCCAGGGGTTGAACCCAGGGCCTTTTACGTGTTAAGGCAAGTACTCTACCACTGAACTACACCACCAGCCAAAAGGAATGCCTTTTAAGGAACTATCTTTCCTCACCACTTCCACAAGCTACTATAACTATCTGTTACCCAGTTATCAAAAGCGCTTATAACTGATTAAACCTTCCTGACAGTAAACCAGGTGAGATGCTAAAGTTCACTGGGACTCTTTCCTCCCCCACCCCACTGGGACTCTTAATATTACTGCTGCTGGTCTCCCTTGAGCTGGTTTACTTATTTAATTTTTTAAAGCCTCTCGAAACCTTAAGTAAACAAATCGCGACAGCCGGTGAAAACCGACACACCCAGAAACTCACAGCAAAACATTTACCTCAAGGTTCACAACGGAATGCCCTACTCTATCTGCAGGTGGCCTCGGCCAGGAGCTAAAGGTCGAAAGAAAACATTCCCTAGACGCTTCACACCTCAGAGGAAGTGGCTTCCAGCAGAAGGCGGGGCCCAGCACCCATCACTCAGCAGGTAAGCCACGCCCTTTCTGACTTTCTTAACAAGGCTTTTTTTTTTCCCCTCCTTCACTATCTGGAAATAGTTCCATCTAAGCTTGCAGAGTTCCTAAAAACTCAGGCATTTAGAATGCTAGAGCTAAAGAGGACTTCAGCTTATCAGCAGCTCTTCTGAAGCGCCGCCCCCCTCCCCCGCCCCGGCCCCAGTGGCCAAAACAACCCTACCCTAGAGTCAGTCAGGCTCCACTATTCCGGTTAATTTTCATGGTAAGAAATCAGTGTGGCAAGAGCCAGGCCCGGTGGTAAAGACCTGGGAACTAGAGAGGCCTGCTAAGATTACAGAGTGAGTTCAGGTCCAGCCTGGGCAACTTAAGGAGAGCCTGTCTCAAAAACAGGAAGTACAAGAGCGAGAGGAGATGGCTTAGCCTGTAAGGTCCTGGTCTTGAAAGTGTGAAAATGTAAGTGTAGATCCCCAGAACCCGGCCAAAAGCCAGATGCAGTAGCACGTCTGTAATCAGAGCTCTTCTATGGTTAAGACAGAGGCCAACACAGGAGAATCCCAGAAAGCCTGAGGCCAGCTGGCTTGGCAGGTGCCTCACAAAGAGACTGCCTCAAACAAGGTGGAAGATGAGGACCAACACCAAGGTTGTCCTCTGACAGTTACACAAGGCCGGTGGCAAGTAAACATGCCTACACTCACAGGAACACACACATACAAACACATCCCACACATAATTCACCATACACAAACTCACAAAGGTTAAAATAAAAAGCAGCAAGTACAAAAACCTCGGGATATAACCTAGTGGCAGGCAGACCCTGTGCATAAGACCCTGGGTTTACTCCCTAGCACTGAAAAAAGAAAGAAAAAGTGGAAAAGAAAGAAAAAGAGAGAGAGAGAGAGAGAGAGAGAGAGAGAAAGAAAGAAAGAAAGAAAGAAAGAAAGAAAGAAAGAAAGAAAGAAA